CAGAGGAGATTTTGTTGGAAATAATCTACGAAATATATGTTTCATATTCTGCAAAATCTAACATGACTTTGAATCGCAAGGTATTTATCATTGAAAATTGCGAAAATTAGCATCGACTTGTGCTAGAAGGTTGGGTTATTTTAAAAATATACACGAAAGAAAACTTCTAGATTTGACTTCCAGATTGAACTTCTTTCCGTTAGCTTGAGGCGTGAGACTAGAGTCTCGCCAACAGAGGTAAGAAAGTCCGACGATGTATACGGAGTACTCAAGTTTTTTGCCACGATGCCAAGCAGTATGTTCTGTTGATGAGGTCACAGCACGTAACGTAAAGTTATTAGCATCGTTCATACCTTCTAGACGTATTACTAATGATGAGCCTAGCGGAAAAGGAAGAAGTGAAAGGAGCTCTAGATTGTCGGAAATGTGGAAACTGTTGCCACTAGATTGTGCGAGGATACCTTCTGCGTTTTGGTTCTGGTAATGGCCCGTTCTTTCTTCCTTCATCGTAAGGTACGTCGAGAGGTCTTATGAAAGATTGTGACAATTGAAACTCATTGAGTGGATTGAGAAGTATAAGTGTATGCGAGGTGTTACAGGAGAAAAAGATTTGAATCATAGAAGAAAAAGAGAGGCCACATCAACCATGGCAAGACTATGCTGTACAGTATTGGAGATGGTGGAGGTTGCATTAGCAAAATAGAACTCTACATTGACAAACTTGGATATCATGAGAGTACTCCAAAATATGGGAATGCTTATTTAGGTTTTACATTAAGTCTTACTTGAGCACAACAATATTTTACTTCTGCATTGCTCAATTTGTATCTTCTTCGCATTTTTATTGACTCTTCTTACATATTTTCATGTCATAGCGCATTTTTTTGTTGGACTATCTCATATACTCTCTATATAATATCACTTGAAAGCCCATGTACTTTAGATTCTTGGTTTATAATAATATGTTGTGGTTGGATGAGTATGTTGAATGTACTGGTCAATTTGAATATGTATGCTACAATAGGTTATGAGGCTCCTTAGGATATATTCTAAGATGTATAGGAATATTTTATGCTTGTTGGAGTATGTTGAATCAACTTGGAGATCTTGTCCTATATTCTGTGTATCAGAGTATCTAGTGTAGTTTTTTTAATATCAAGGGCTGTCTCCATGTTGTAGAGTACATACTTTCTCGCTCTCAATATGAAGAGATAATCAATATAATAGTATCTCCATTGGAGATTTAGCTAGATGTAAATGCATCTCATACTGAGCATACTTGCACATGCAAATTGGAAGATCATCTAGCTTTTATCAATTATTGCTTCTTTTGGATATTGGCAGTATTGATGTCTTGAATCTACTTGACATTCAGTTTGAAACATCGATATATTGTGACATTTGTTTATTAATTATTAATCTGCCATTGTATTTTTTTTTCACACACATTTTAAGAAAAAATGACAATAACCTTCATCCTTTAGTATGTTGACAAGATGATGAGATTTCAATTTTAAAAAGGATTAAAAATCTTATGTGATGAGGATAAGTCAAATTTTGGATCAATCCTGAGGATTCAAATTGGTGAGAAGACTCTTACAGGTAATATTTTTGACATTCTTGCTTATAGAACATAGTGCAAAGTTGAAAAGCTATCTGACCAGAGTGAACATGATTTGGAAATATGGATTTAATATGATGTGAAATTATAAAATCCATAATTAATTGATAGTTTGTTCTTTTATTGTGATCATTTTGGAACTTGATTATTATATTATTGAATGTTTTTGTGATAATATTATCTGAATATCAATAACCTTGCCAAATTTTATTGTATCTATGAAAAAATTTGACAAATGTAAAATATATAATGATGTGTTTGTGAACGTTCTGAATCTTGTCAAAAACTTCTTTATTTCATTTCTTCTATAATTGGATGAAAATAAGAAACAAAATCTAAAACTTATAGATGAACATTATTGTTTTATCTTATAATATCTATCAATGACTAGAATTTGTATCCTACATTTTTTTTATTGAAATGAGTACTCAATTGATTTGATTACGAATTAGCTTTGACTTGATACATTTTTAGATCAAGTTCGTAGGATTAGAAGTCTTAAAATCCAACGTTACATCATCATCTCGATATAGGAAAAAATTAATTATCAGATGATCTAAACAGACAAATCATATGTTGTTTTGTATTTTTTAGTGAGATGAAAGATACATACTAAGGTTAAAATTAGAGAGGAAATTACATAAATACATGTTTGAATTTTTTGATCAATCATAACTTTCATATTTTCAGTTGGATGATGGCATGTCTTTCATTAGATTTGAGAGAAACTTGAACAAGACATGTAATTTTACGTAGCTCTTCATCTTGCCAAGGGATAGAAATTATGGTTAGAGAAATGTTGAAAGTGGAGTACATGAGGATTGTTTCCGTGGGCATAAACAAAACCTATGACATCATGACTGCTGAATTTTGGAACCAATTGGAAGGTTCTAAAAATTTCTTCCATATCCAAGCGATCAGATGTTATCATATTGAAGCAGAGTACTTGCAACATTCTTATTACAACTAGAGATTACTCTACAGATTGTTTTTTATTCAGCAGGCACGCAGGGCAGGTTTTTGGTTGTCTATATTATCATTATATGCGGTTGGTTGTTCCCTAAGTCACCCACAAAGGGTAGAAAGGGTAGTCGCCAAGACGTGGTTCCAGTCCTAGCCCCGCCATAAGTCCGAGTCCCGGCTTAGTTGGCAACACCGTCATAGAGTCCTTGCCGCGCTAAGTAGAGATTATCACCTGTTTTATTGCAATGTGGTCTTCCTAAGGCGGTCAGAGTTTGTGCATTCTTTGGGCGTCATTGATATTGCAACTACTGGAATCCGATCCATGTCCTGTATTCAACTACTCCTGGAACATGATCACATGTGAGGACAAGTTCGATTTCTCTGCAGAGGACTGTCCCCGCCAAAGGATTGAGATGCAGCGTATAGCATAGGAAAACCTCCTTCAGCACACTGATAGTGCGTGCTGGTAACCCTCTGTCGATGACTCTGACGGTCTGCCGTGTGTACCGTGATCGTGGCTTCAGACTGAATGAACTGTAGAAAGACGTGGATTATCGTAGACGTTGTCGAGGGCGAATTCTGACCTCCAGAGACAGTCAAATTGCGTGCATTTCTGGGTCGAGGAGCCATCACCGAGGTTGGAAGAGAACTCTAAACCTCACCTCTGTCCGGTTCCCACCTTGAGGCTTGAGCAGATCCGGGCTGAAAGGAGGGTGTCCTGCCTAAGTTATGGTAGTAAATTCTTTCTTACGTCAGCTTCGGATCAGAGTTGTGGGACTTTTCATGCATTTCAGGTTCCAGCTGGTGTGTTTTCCTTGAAACTGTCTACCATGCACTGTTTTATAAGTCGATATGACTTACTCGCTTTTTCCGACAGGTTTCCACAGCTAGACCAACAACAGGAGCACATAAGTACAATTGCCATGCTATTCTGTATGGTGTCTTCGGTTGTCGGATTTTCCTTTTCTGCAGAGTGAACATGCATTCAACGTTCAAGAATCTCGTGGCTTTGTTTTTGACAGAATCTTCGATTATACGGTCCCGGTTGTCCTGATCTGATATTCAACGCGAAATCAATTCGAGGGATTATCTACGGGACAAAAGAGTTCCAATCTTAGTAATGTTCCCAATTGTCCTCGGCTGAAAGAGATCTTGAGAAAGCGGTTCCTGGGTACAAAAGTGACCATGACAAAGAATTCTGTAGTAAGTAAAGTGAGATGGAAATATGCTTGAAGCGTACCGCACGACTTACCTTGCGATTCCCGGAAATTACGAAAGGAGACCAGAAGGATATTTCTTATTCTACGTAAGATACATGTGTCTCGACGTTGCACTTCAGCACCTATCATTTTATTACTTACCCGAAAGGAATACTTCTGAACCTTCAAATTATGCGACACACAATGATGAGACCGTGAGTGACTCATGCCTGACATGGATGGAAAGTCAACTCAAGGAGCTCATTTATTCATAGAAGCTGTTCAAGGTACTTCGCTGTTTCACACATGTGGCTCATAATGGCAAGTTCTGAGTCCTCAATTTTCTTTACATAAACACGCAAAAACATTTCGAATGATTTTTATTTCAATTCTCGCACATGTAATACGATGCTTTCCTAATCTACAAAAGAAGAAGAATGACCACTGATGTCCTTTGGAAGTCTTGCTGCAGCCGAGATATGAATCACGAGTATTCTCTCTTTCTATTATTCCATTCCATAGAGGTGTGGTGGATGTTTTCCACATCCGCATGGCTAGAACTGTAATAATATAATTGAAGTATATGATCCACAAGTTGGTACACTGGTTTAATCCACTATATGATATAAGATGGCGAGAGCAACAGGTCCCGTGCACCAAGTTTTGTCACTTTCTGCATGCCTTGCCCTGTGTAGTATGTGTAGTAAGCACAGTACAAATTTAGTACACAATTGTAACCAGATAGATGATTTCTCCGTCTTGAAGTGGGCGGATTTAAACATCGAGGCAGACACAGAGCCGCAATTCAAGCATGACAAAATTCAATCGTGATTTGTACTTCGTCCTTTGACAGTACAGTAGAGACAAACGGGATTTTAGTGGGAAGTTGCAGGTATTCAGGGAGGATGTTGAAACAGCGGGAGGCCCTGGCGGCGCAAAAGCTGAGAGGAGACGAACTGAAGAGAGAATGTTGCAAAGAGATGGAGGACCAGAAGCTGCCGTCTGCTGCGATCATCATCGGTCCATCAGCGTCACGTGAGAAAATGCACAAGAGGCAGCTGCTTCGGCATGTCGCAGGGCGAGTGGGAATCCATCACTGGCGGGATGAGGCACGGACGGGATGCTCTCCTCCTCCCTGTGTTACTGCTGCAGTGGTCGAGCTGCAAGTGAGTGAGTACCAGTGCAATCACTCGATCGAGGCTGTATGGCAATTCCGGGCCAGCCTGGGGAGGGCTCCTCATCCAGTGGATCTTCCAATCGTGCTCGCGCGTCAGCACGTTGCTCCGCCAGTGGGCCTCATTCGAATTCCGCAAAGTCCGATCTCGCTTCGTGTGAATCCATCATTCCTCTGCGATTTCTTCAGCCCATTCCTCTAGCTCGATCCGCAGCATTCCGCCGATGGGACGGGACCACGGTGGCAAGTCAATAGCACCAGCAGTTTCCTCGCCCACAAACCAGGAGTGGCTGCACTGTAGGCCGAGCCAGTGGATCTGATGGAGGTCAATCTCGGGGCCTTTTAAGGGCCGCGGCGGTTTCAGAACATAGAACTCACTCACAGCTTCAGCCCACTCTCTCAGTGGGAAAAGCCGAGCAGAATTCTTTCACCATGGACCGAAGGGGGATTTCAAATGTGCTCTATGTGTTCGCCATAGTTTGGGTTGTTTCTGCCAGGCCCATTCAGTCGACATGGCTGTCGGAGGACTTCTACTCGGACGACTGCCCAGACTTGATGCAAATCATGAGAGACGCGATGAACGTCACCGCAGAAAACGACCCCGTCAATTTGCCAGCCATCCTTCGTCTCTTCGCCCATGACGCCATGGTCAATGTAAGAAGAAGACGTGCAAGAGTGCGTTCATGGTGCTCCAAGCTCTAGAATGGTGGCTCAAAGGCTCACCCTGCGATCCCTCCCTCCTCCGCTGAATTGCGTAATTAATGAGGTCGTCGTCGTCTTCTGTGCAGGGTGTCGATGGTTCCGTCTTGCTGGATTCGAAGCCGGGCGCCAAGCTGCCAGCAGACAAGGCCGAGAAAGACGCGCCGATCAACTTGTCGCTCTTCGGATTCGAGGCCGTGGAATTCTTGAAGGGCGAGGTCGAAATGGCGTGCCCGGGGGTCGTCTCGTGCGCCGACGTACTCACCATCGCTGCGCAGTTATCGATCGAGATGGTAAGCGCCTCGATTGCAGATTTGTTCCAGACAGCGCAGACTCATAAACTCACGAATTACAGCGATTTCAGCTGAGCTTTCTTTCTCCCGCACGACCCGCTGACAAATTTCGATTCTTGTGAATTTCTCTCCTCACTCTTCGTTTCTGTGCGTGTTCCAGAGCGGCGGACCCGTGTACCAGTCTCTTCTGGGACGCCGCGACGGTAAAGTGTCACGGTACAACGATGCCGTAGCTCAGCTGCCCACCGAGACCATGAGCTTGGACCAGCTGAACGCCAATTTCGCATCCATTGGCCTCGATCAAACGGACCTGGTTGTTCTCAGTGGTACGGATTGAGCTGTAGTTTGGTTGGGTTACATGATTGATTGAGAGGCAAGTTCACGTTGGGACTGACTGACTGGCCGGTCCATTCTCATTTGGCATGCAGGGGCGCATACGATCGGATTTGCTCACTGCGAAGCCTTCTCGAAGAGAATCTACAACTTCAGCTCGACGGATCCAATTGATCCGACCATGGACTGGACTTTGGCTGATCAGTTGAAGCATGTGTGCCCTCTGAAGCCTGATCCTAACACCGTCCAAGCGCTGGACATCACGACCATCGAGACTTTTGATGAGAGTTTCTACTTCAATCTGCAGATTAATGAAGGACTTTTGGCTTCGGATCAGCTTCTGTACACGAGTGATGCCACATCTCCGCTGGTGGACCAATTCGCCGCTGACAAAACCGCCTTCTTCGACTCTTTCGTTACATCCATGATCAAGCTCGGTAATGTCGGTGTGCTCACCGGTACCCAGGGAGAGATTCGAGAAGTTTGCAGTATGGTGAACCCATCGCCCCCACCACCACCGAGGGCTTCTCCACCCCCACCACCTCCAAGGGCTTCTCCTCCCCCACCACCTCCAAGGGCTTCTCCTCCACCGCCACCAAGGGCATCCCCACCACCACCTCCAAGGGCTTCTCCCCCACCACCACCAAGAGCATCCCCTCCACCACCTCCAAGGGCGTCTCCACCCCCGCCACCAAGAGCATCCCCTCCACCCCCACCCCCGTCACCATCGCCTCCACCACCCCCATCGGCATTGTAACAGCTTCAACACCATGAATTCATAACAGATCGAGAACAGCACCCGTAGAGATCGTTTCAAATTCACACTCTTTTGCAGCACCTTGGAATATTTGTGACACTGTCTTACTCTGGACCAACTCCTGCGAGTCGACTTTAATTTACTTTCACGAGGCCAAGCATTTCCCTGCTGTGCACTTTATACATCAAACTGTCACCCGAAATATCTTCGTTCAGAGGGAAGATTTAGTAGGGTGCTCGGACTAACAGGCACTTTACGTGCTGCTGATGATAGATGTAGTATTGGATGAAGGAGGAACTAATTCTGATGATCTGATCCACGTAAATGACGGAACTAGTAGAAGTAATTATAAATTGAAGTTAGCGTTTGCACCTTGAATAAAAGGTGATCTACCCACTGATGTTCAGACAATTGTCAGCTTTTGTGGCTTGAATAAAAGTGATGAACACACTGATATTATTATATCAGTTTCTATCTCAGATATCGGATCACTTTTGTGGCTGGAACATTCGTACTTTTTCAATTGAACGTTTGAGAAGGTCAGTACCCATGCTCATTTATGACTATCCTAACGTGCTGATTTATGGATCCAAATGCAACTTATGCGAGTGGATTCTACAGAAATCTCGTGCAGACCCATCAGTTTTTTATTCTACTTTTTTTTATGCAATAATAGACGATTGGGATTTTGATAAAAAATGTCATGTGTTTGAATACTCTTTACGTGGCTCCCCTTATCAAAGTTTGAATAATCTGTTGATAGATTCACCAGAGGAAGAGATGAATGCATAACAGGAGAATATCTTTTATTATTTTGAGGATTAAAACCACTCTTCAACTTTGATACAGAGACAAAACTTCAGGGCTGGTTGTTTGGATGGAGAACCAAGAGAATGGGAACTGTCGTTCTGAATTTCCGTCTGTAAATAGAAGGATCATCTTCAATACCCCAAATTCAAAACCTCTGACATTGTGCGAAACCTTGTAAAAGTTAGATATAAACATATTAACCAATCTAATATTTATTTTGTACGCTTTATAATCGGAATTTTCTCCAATTGTGAATCTACAGTTTGGAGTCATTTACGATGCTACAATAAGCTCTATATTTTTTGTGCTGATCAGATCAATTGTGATGGGCTTCGTTCAGTCTTCGCTGTCCATTTCATACCATAAATGTCACTTGTAGATCCCTCTCTTTGACTTGATATATTTACAATCACATTGAAATTAGTAATATTTTAGAATTATCAAACCTCACTTATGATATATATATTATTTTGGAGTGTTTAATTTATACATATTACTGTAATTTTTACTTGATATAACTACTGTTGGTAGATTGAAGAGGAATACAAGACTTTAACTGGAAAATCAGTAACTGCTGCACAATGCGAACGTTATTATACATTCAAGCAGCATCCATCTCAGTCCAAGCCTTCAGATACGTAGCGAAGCATGTTCCTCCTTAACAAGAAGGAAGAAAGAAAATATGTGCTGAAAATGTGCTAGGTGATGCTCGATTAGGCTCAATTCACTCTCGATAGATGCCCAGAGGCTATAATCAGGTCAGAAACTAGCCTTTGTATGCAGAGAAAGAAACCGGTGGCACAGTATCTTGCTGAAGTGCAAGGCATTAGTACAAGCATCGTTCCGATGCTTGTACCTAGATACTCTCGTCCTCGCTATCCCCAATATCTCATCAGCGCCCTCGAGGAAGTTTAAACTAAATGATTTCGTGCTAGTTTTGGATCCAGTTGAAGATGAACAAGTATCTTCGCTAATTTGCACGAAAGCTGAGGGTTGGAGTAACTGAAATATCCTGGTTCTAGGGTACGTAAAAAACAAAAATGAACCGCAGACCGATTCATAATTGAAACCAATTAAATGGATACAATTTGAAAGTAATTCAGCTGGAGTGCAAATGTTCTCCATTTCTAGTGTTCACTAGCCTTTGTATGCAGAGAAAGAAACTGCTGGCACAGTATCTTGCTGAAGTGCAAGGCATTAGTACAAGCATCGCTCCGATGCTTTTCCGTATTATGAACCTTCAGATGGCCATATGTGGCCCTCCATCCGCATCCAAGCGTGCATTGTGAACATGTTCACGGGTTTGGCTCCGGATTCCAGCTTTTGGAACTCTGTCTGAGACAGATTCCCAGAAGACTCAGATACAATGTTACAAACACAGGCGCAGAATTCTTTGTGTTGTTCCACGGGTCTTCCTACAAAAAGTGTGTGCAACTCTGCGCGTCTCGTGAGGTTGATTTATTCGTGTTTGAAAAAATTGGAATACCCTTAATTCTTTGACTTGTCAAATGATCAGTTTCGGCACTTCGATCTTAACCAATTTCCCAGTTTACAATCGGTTATGGCAAGCAAAAGCTTTAAAATATGATTTGAAATATCGTCCTTTAGGTTCATCAACTTGATTCTGTCGTAGCCTATCCGTATCATGCGTTTGAAAACATTGATACAGACATATAACCCCATAGATCATTTGGGATTATACAGAACGTATTCTTGCCCAAAGTCACTTCTGACTCTGGGCTTTGTTATGCTCCCGTGTCGGCTGTGCTATGTCATATTTTAGTACAATTCGCCCCTTCCCCGACACTTGCGATGGCATACGATAACAGTAATGGTCAAGCTCTTCATATCCGATGACATGAGCGGTGAGGACCACTACCCGACTAACATCTGATTTTAGCACTCCTGAAACTGCGACTCCACAAAATGATCACACATGATGAACAAAAGTATACTTCACTCGATGCTGATCTATGTGAGGAAGAAAAGCTTCGTAATGTTAAGATAGTGAGACATTGAAACTTGTTCCATTGACTTTTGAGATCTGAATCGCTGTCAAAAAGCTTCCAAGGTTTCTGTACGGAAGGCAACATCGATGCATGGTAAGAAGAACCGAGATACATGAGGGGCAAAGGTGCACCAGGGAGAACAGATCACACACGAAACAACAGCGTCCGAAGTCTGGACAGGAGTGTAGCTACACCTATGAAGAACCGATCATGTAGCAAGAACAACTGCACCGAACGAGGCAGGTACTCTGTTCTTCCGTGCCAGACGCATCAAAACCTAGATCTGTTTCCCATCTTTCATCCTTACCATTTCCAAGGGAGAATGAAGTAACGAGGTCGTTCCTGCCTTGCAATTGTAAAGTCTACACAGGGTTAGGCATCCCGGAGTGGCCACTATGTATCATTTGGCTCCGAAGGTGGGGGTCGTGCACCACCAGATGTCGATCCCATCTTGCTTGGCCAGGTTTTGAATTCGCTTGTGCCTTTGGCCACGGAATGGCCATCCTCAATTTCGGTGGCATGGTGAACCTCCGCTCTGGCAGCTCGTGTGTAGTATTTCTCCTTCATGCCCTTCTTCAATCCGCGCAGCCTATCTTCACTGAATCGGTGTGAGTAATCGATAGTCTCTTGTCGCTCTTGTTCCGTAACAATGTCATGCGTGACCTCCGAAACAGCAGGCACGGAGTCGGCCGCCCACATCTCACCATTGGCTCCTGCACTCTCTGTACAGTCATCTCCATGGTGGACTCCCTCTCGTGGCTTTTCGTCCTGTCTCGAGCTACTTGTACTGGGCAGTGGCAATTCGGAGTGCAGAGGAATGTGCTCTTCCTTACTGTGAGCTTCTTGCCGTCTGTGGTGATGTGACATGGAGGAAGGAGGAAACTGGGCCAGATACTGGGCTGTTGGTGAGAGGACCACATTTTCTGACCGTGGAGAAGGCTCGAAACCTTGAGACTCTGTGTCTCCCTTTTTGAATATGAACGTCGTGTACAAGGCGAGCACATCTACTGCCTGCGTACTCAGACGGCCTCTGGCATCCAACACAGCAACTCCTTTGGAGTCCACCAGAGACGCACAGCTATTTTTCAAAACGTCAGCAAACGGAACCACGGAATCATCATAAAACTCTTGAAGGTTTTGAATGTCCACGCACTCCAGACCCACCTCTCTGGCGAGCCGGATGAGAGTGGGAAAATGGACTAAAAGCTGAGCTTGGGCAGGCAGTCCATCATCAGTGAAGCGCAAGTGGTACTTCGAGCCAAAGGCGAGGAATCTATCATCGTCGAAACTAATCTTGTACAGCTCTGTCCTCACACAAGGCAAGGTCCCATTCACTCTCAGAGAACCATTTTTCATGGCTCCCTCCACAGCTTTCTGGTACTTGTACCATATGGTCGAAGAATCGGGAGCTGTCCCGAAGAAGAAACCTCCCGGTTTGAGCACGGTTGCCACATTTTTCAGAAGATGTCGGACCATGTCTTCACTCGTGAAGCTATCTTGCAAGTGTGCCAGACAGCATACCACATCCACAGGCAAGCCGTAAGCTTCCAGGTGGTCCTCCAATTCCACGATGCATGGATCCAGCTCGACGAAGTCCGCTGCAAAGGGTTTGTCATGGCGCTCCCACTGCTCTCGTGCCTCTTCCAGTGCAGACGCTGACAAGTCCACTCCAATGTACCGCCCGATTTCGGCTTCTGCCCACCTTTCGGTGTCCAATCCACGTCCACAGAATAGGTCACACACCACAGCGCCGGGAGACAACAATTGCCGCATCAGGACCCTCTTCACAAACCCCAGCAGACGAGTTTGCAATCCAGCTGCCATTCCTCCCGGCGGCCATCCCACTGCCCCATTGGGAATCCAGGAGTTCGCAGCCATTTAACTGATGACAAATCTCAGCTCGCCTTTTCGCACCTTTGCATTCCGGATTGCAACTCGATCGTCTAGCCCTGTTGACCCCACCTACATTTCTCAAATCCCTGTACTTGCACACTTCCATGGCAACCACTGACAAATCTCAAGGACTAAGCTTACTCATGAATTTAACGTAGATGAATTTCGATTCCCGAACGTTACCTCGTACAACGTCGTCTTGCAGTGGCCAAATCAACCATCGTCTCCGGACAGGACCATCATCTCCGCGGACACTTGGAACTGCAACCCATAGATACTTGGTCCAATATTGAATTTGTGCAGAGTCAGAACTCTCCAAATTGAGTTGACCGACGCTGTACTCTCTCCAACTCTTCTTCTTTCTCTCTCATTCTCTACGTCGAGAAAACTGTCAGCTGATTCACGTCTACTCTCCGCGCGATTCGGACGCAGAGCACAAAGATCTCAAACTGACACCATCAGGAATAGGCAAGTACGACAGTGGTACCGCAGGTGGACACAATCCGACAAATCTCAGGCTGCAAACCGAAACTGTGTCATAACTCCCCATCGTGACGGCCCCATTTTCTAACGTAGTACTGCCTGCAGTTTTATCGATGCATTTGACAAGTAGCAACAGTATGACTAGACTTCCTATTTTGACTTTCGTCACTCTCTTTCGGACATGCCAGGATCAGAGGGAAGAACTGGTCTACGTTTGCTTTCATTGCCTCTTGCACTGAAGAATGTGGGACAACTCATGCAGCAAGCAATCAGACAGACCGAATGAAAAAACATTTAATGTTTAGACATCTACTTCCGCTACAAGTTGTATAAGAGAGAATTATTCCCGGACACAAAACACTTGATGAGACCCCATACGTTTTATTTTACAGTATGAATCCCCTCGGACGGCACACAGTCACCAATGTTACTCTAGGGGCGAAGAGGGTACTGATGTCCTCACTTCTTGTAAAGCGGGTGTTCTTGTTAAGTGTGTTTTTTATTCAAGAATGCCGCTCTAAACAGAGTTATAGTTTAGTTTTAGCAAAAGGCTATTATGTTCGAGTAAAATCCGTAAACCATTGCATTTAACCCGTGATGTTCTGTCTCATGCCCAAATCAATGTTAGACGAGTCCATTAGTTGAGGGGACCTTTACAAAACGGGGGTCAAATACCCTCGAGTTAATGTGCTTGTTGGGGCCATATTTAGACAAGAATTGTACTCCGAGTGGACGGGTCGGTCAAGTTCCACGACATTTCTTGTAAAGAGAACGCATGTCATTTTTTGACAACTTCACCCCCATTGACATATAGTGAGAAAGTGGATACATTGCTCAAGTTATTAGTTTTTTGTGCACTGGTGCTACTGCAAATGTTGTTGTCGTGGAACAACTGTCTTCCAAAATTGTAAAAAATCAATCGAAAAGAATCCTGTCGCGGTTTTTGCTAGGGAGCAATGAGCTACATGATTATCATATTTCACATCTCAAAATCCAATGTGGCTTCGGCTTGAGGTGGCAGTGTGAAAGTGTATACTCTCCACGCGCATACTCTCCCTCACATTTTCATAGCAGTGAATTTTCAGCTTGAACAATGGAGAGTGGTACTCCCGCTTGGAAGTATAGTGAATGCATGAGCGAATGATTAGGAAATGGACGCAACTATTCTACCTAGAAGATTGCTTTCGATCGCCTTAGAAGATTGGCTTTTGTTTACTGTCAGCTAGCTGCGTTGGGTACCGGGGCTACCGTCATAACGTGTTTCTCAACGTGAGATCACCACCAACAAGTTTTTTATTTTTCTTTGCAAATCTACACAATGGATTAGTGGAATGTTATAACTCTCGCTTTCATATGTATGATGGTATCTTGTACCATTGTCGAGAGACAAATGAAGGAGATGAAAATTGTTTTTGCAATTCTTCTATGTGTTCAAGGGATTGTCAAAGCAGTTGTAAAAGAATTGGGGATGGTATTTCACAATGGGGCTCCAAAACAGATTTGACAGTGGAGAAGACACCGAGGGTTAGCATATACTGTACTCTTGAAAACATATTCAGAGCGGAAATCTGTGAGAAGATTCCAAATTTTTCCAAGGACATTCAAATTTATCGTAGTATTAGTAGGTTCGGAGATGAAGAATGATGCACGAGATGAGGGAATTGAAGTTTGACACATGATAGTTGTTGCTCTAAATCAACTGGGGACATGGAATTATATCACGAGGTGTGATGATTTGTACGGCATCAGTGAAGGGTTTGCTTATTGTAAGAGAATTTTGTGCAATACTTGTTCAAATAAGAATTCCGCTGTTTGTGCCTAAGTGGGCTACAAGTAGTCTTGAAGAGTTTGCCAGTCGGTTTGAAAAAATTCATGGGTTTCAAATATTATGAGGGTTATAGATTGCAGTCATATAGCAATAATTGCTTTATCTCAAGACAAGGAAGTATTTACAACATAAAAGTATTTCATTCATGCCTTCTGCATGGGGTTGTTGATCCGAAGTGTATCTTTTGGGATTTTGATTTCGGTTGAGCAGGTTCTCAACATGATTATACTGTCTTCAAAATTTCTGTATCAGGGAGACGAGTTATGTAAGGCATGTATGTTCACAAATTAATTGGAATTGTAGCTTCTCTTGTAAAACTATACATGTATGTTACTTACAAGAAAACCAAGGAGGTCCTGGAACGGTAGAAAGCTCATTGGAATTTTGTGCAGTCGTCTACAAAATTGTGTGTGGAACGGGCGTTTGATTTACTAAAAGGTCGGTGGACAATTATTCTTCCCATGATTGAGATGACATTAGGACACATTGCAGATATCATCGTCGCGTGCATTTTATTACACAATTTGTGTATAATGCACAAAGATTGGATCGATCCTAATCTGCATTTAGAAGCAGAGGAGTGTCTGGAATAAGATTGGGTTGGTCGGTATGGATAGTTGAGAAGTGAGGCAATTCAAAAGATTGCAGAATATAAAAGTCAACAATTACATGCTGTTAGCAATGGTAACCGAAATGCATTTTCAATACAAAATGGCAAGTACGAGATTAAGTATTTTTCCAATGTTAGTATGAGAAGAGGAGACAGGTATGCATTTGTTAAGAAAAGGTGTAATATGCATGACGTATTAACTAAAGTTTTGTTCATATAGCATGTCATGCGAAGCACAGTAGAACATGATATCCATTGGGATTCAGAGTATAATGTTTGTTAGAAGAATACCATGTATCACAATTTGTCCAAGTTTTTTGGCTTTATACAATACTCATCGTCGCTTTTGAATTAAGTCCTTGTTCTTTGTGAGTTTTTACTTGTCGCGTACAAACATAGATCCTTAGGCTACCGCCTGTTTGACTGAGCTCCATGAGCTTAAAATATATTCTACTATTATGATGTTGCGTTGGGTGCAAAATGGGTGTGTTGACTGCATTATGTCATTTATATATATATATATATATATATGAGAAAACAAATTCAATACCTGAAAAAATATTATGTTAATTGCCAAAAAATCTATTTTTCCCTTACACTGCGCCAATAAGTTGAGACATCAAAGTGTCCCTAGAATCTAATTGAGATCCATTCTTTTCTATCTTGTTCCCTATGTTTGCAACTGCATCAACTAAATTTTCCAAGATAGAGAACATACTCTCTTGACCTTGTTTCACAGTCATTTTATCCTTCGGTCGAGGTTTCAAAGGTGGTCTTTTGACACCACTTGTTACTTTCGAATTGGAGCATTCCACATTTTCTGGATTGTCAGTCCTCTCGCGAGACTTGTCTAGAAACAAATCGTCTTTGCCTAGACACGGATTGTCACTACCAAATGCATCTGCATGAATAGCCCTCTTCACACGAATAGAATTTCTAGAATGCAAATCAAGCTCATCATAGAACTTACATGTTATATTGTGGTCATTACTGCTTACAACATTGTGCAACTTGTGTTTCTTGTACTTGTTGAACTGAACTAAATACTTCTTCTTACAAGCTTTTTCAATCTTGGTGAAATTGTGACAATTGACCACCATTTTTTTCTGCAGCTTGATTCAAGTATTCACTCCTGACCATTAGAACAGATACACAAGTTAGTTTGATCATCGGACCAACTTGGTTCAACAAACCGAGATCTTGTAAACAAACCACAAAAGCTACATATTATTTCTCTGAAATAAACACTAGTTAAACAAAGACAATTAATCATATTGGAAATAACTGAGCAAAAGTTTTGAGAACTAATTATAATGAAGAATTTGTACATAAACTATAACTCGCCCTAGAAAGACAACCCATCAAAATTTGTTTGTCTTCGACTTCATCACATCAGATATAATGTAAAAATCTATTGTTGCATAAAGGAAAGATGAAAGTTTAAAGTTCTATGTCGTCAATCAGAACTCGCATACTTGTTCACAACATCGAATCCTAAGTTTTTACTTATCCAGATTTACGGAGTCACCTGGTAACTATGAGAGGTTAAACTTTCCATAAATGTGATGCAGTAAACCTCTTGAATGAATTTCACTAGAACCTATATCTGCTATGCTTCTATGCAAGTATCGTTACGAGGAATAACACAGGCTATGAGCTAAATTTAGTGAAATAAAGAAAAGGTACTACAAAATTTCAAAAGTCAGTTCATGTATGCTATGTATTACTTCATTATCCGTCTGCAAAGCTTTGAGCAAATGTCTTCGGTCTTTGGGAAAAAACTCATTTGATTATGCAACTAAATGATTGAAATAATAATCACTAAATTTCTAAAATAGATATGACTGCTGCTAGTTGCATTAACTTTCTTACATGAGAAGTTCACCAGCTGAGAGAACAGTGAAAGCTGCAGCAATGCACTGTATATCATTATCTAATCAAACACTAAGACTCTTGACTCGCAAGTAGAACACATCTAGATGAGACTCAATTCAATTATACCAAGTCCATCTAACTACATAAATTTTTAAACTATTTAAGAAAAAACTTATCATTTACATTTGCGAGACTGTAGAATAGACATTATCTCGAGAAAGTATTGCTTGAAATTATCTTGCTTGTCAGAGGCTACTTTAAACTCCAATTTCATCTTCTATTTCAGTGAAATTAAAGTTCTCGTATGTTTGTCAGTCCATGGAACCTTGTTGTTAAAATCATCATCGTCATACTCGTCCAAAACCACCACCTGCTATGTCTTCTTCTTCATGATTCTCATCGTTTTGGCAGGATTTCGCTTCTTTACTCTTTGTGAACCTTCTGTATTTTCGTATCGCTTCTCCAAAGTTTTAGCCAGTGCTTCCTCCTCCAATTGGTTGTCTTCCTCTAAAACTTTTCCACTAGTCTGAATTATCATGTCACGTTCGTTTGAATTTTGTACATTCTTGGAGTGTGGTTCCTGAAATGAAGATTTTGCAGGGAAAGTAAGATTTGACGTAACACTCGGTTCCAAGGCAGAAGGACATCTAATCAGTGGCGGTGGCTGATTCCACCAGAAATTGAATGCTGCATTTCACTCCTTACCACTGGACAAGGTTACTGTGAAGAGTGCCCATACAATAAGCTCCAAAATTGAATTTTAGAGTCTAAATCTTTGGGTTATGAATCAAGCAATCTGTCAATTTCAGCCGGATTGCTCGATCTATCCATCAGATCATTTTGAGGCATTGATTTTTAAGAAAAAAAATTATCCATGGTGTCTTACTTGAAACAACAATCT